CTTGCCGGTTTCTTCGTAGCTTGAGCTGACTTCTCCTCCTCCTCTCTTCGCTGAGGGAGGGGGAGGGGGAGACACCAGGGGCTTTGTCTTCTTCGCCTTCCCTGGGAGAAGAATTAGGCATTTTTTATAGAAATCCTTGAGGGGACAAAACTGTCCTTTTAAGGATCGTTCCTTCTTACTATGTGCAAGATAGAGGGGATAAGTTAACACAATTTGAGCCGTAGTTCGGGGAGTGTTAGGTGACGATAGAGGAAAGCAGTGAGGGAGGGAGCGGTGGTATGCACTCACCTTCTTTCTTGTCTTCTTTTGCTCTTCACTTCCACATGTTCCACTTCCATTCTCTTCTTCAACTGCTGCCTTCACCTTCTACCCTTCACCTGACACCAGACAACATACGTACATTATACAGTACATTGTTCTCACAGAGATACGTACGTAGACACACAAAATCGCGTACAGGTACAGAGCACGTGTGAAAAAGCCCCGCGTCTGGTACCACAGGAAGCTGCTACGTCCGCACGGCGGCGAGTTGGACACGAACAGACCTTTCCTTCGTCTTTTTGCTCTCGATTCCCATGACTTCGTGAACTGCTCTGCTTCGTGCTCCGTCCAAATCACCACGAAAAGTGCACACGTGGGAAAAGCCGTACACCTCCGGAATCTTTTGTAAACGTTCGGCCACGTGTTTATTCCGTAATTCATAGTATCCGGAGACTTCACACGCATGCGCATTGCACACGAGAGCACTGTTGTTGTATAAAGCATCATAGACGAGGAGAGAGAGACGATATAAACTCGCTACTCTGTCAGGTGCTCTTGAAGTCTCTGTTTGTCTTCTTCAAACTCACTGTCACATTCCAGTACCAGAACAGGGGGACGGGATCCATCTGGAACACTTCACAACAACACAAATAATGTTCCTCAAAATGTTGTGGAGCAAATATTTTTGCCCTACTTCATTTTGTTTTCAGAGCCCCCAACGCCACTTCGTGTTTTTCATGGAGGACTTCAGGTAGTCGAGGCGACGTCTGTTCCTGTGTTGTCACACAGCGAGTATAAAGAAGACCGTGAAAAAGACAAGTGATGTAATTGAATGATGATAATATTGTAATACTCGGGTCTTCCTCTCTTCTGTCCTCTCCCACGTGGTCTGAAGAGAGAGAGGTGAAAGAAAAACAAAACACCCCCAACATGGAGTTTTGTCATTATCCGTAGTTCTGTCATGATGCCAAAGAAAAACTGAAACACAGAGCAAATTTCCAGTATGAGCTCAATCTAGTATATTACATACATGTTGCACAACTCGACATCAATTGCTTCAATTGCAACACACTTCACTCACATTGTGTTGATCTAACATGAGAGTGTGACTTACATTTACCTGGGGAGTGGTCTTGAGGTAAATGAAGGCATCGAAATGGAGAGGCAGTGACTCGAGCAGAAAGCTGTGCCAGTCGCAGTAGATGTTCCACTCCACATCCGAGAGGAGACCAGAGTCATGGCAGTTCTCTGCAAATACCAGCCTTCCCATGGTGGAGGAGAAGAGAGGGAGGAAGGGAGGGAGGGAGGGAGAGAGAGGGAGGGAGGGGGACAATAGAAGTTGAATGGGTGAGGGAGGGAGGGAGGGAGGGAGGGAGGGAGGAGGGAGGAGGGAGAGAGAGGGGGACAATAGAAGTTGAATGGGTGAGGGAGGGAGGGAGGGAGGGAGGGAGGGAGGAAGGGAGGGAGGGAGAGAGAGGGGGACAATAGAAGTTGAATGGGTGAGGGAGAGGGAGGGGAGGGAGGGAGGGAGGGAGGGAGGGAGGGAGGGAGGGAGGGAGGGAGAGGGAGAGGGACAATAGAAGTTGAATGGGTGAGGGAGGATAAAAGGGAAAGAACAGAACAAAGAGTGGCATGAATGAATGCTGTTCTTCAAACACACAAACAAATGCAAAAACACACCTCTTCATCGCATGTCAACTTGGTACGTATGTAACAAACGTAACAAGCCCTAGCTACCAACACAGCATAGATTATACACAATAAGAATGCAGTACTGATGCGTGTGTATTGGAGTCTGTAACTGTGGGCTGACTTGTCACTGTGGACAGATCTCTCAAAGAAGATGGTGGAGTTTGGCTGACTGGTTACCTCCTGAGGCAACTGTCTCAGCTGAGCCTTCAGCCTACTCAGACATGCATACGTCTGCAGGAGAGAGAGAGAGAGAGAGAGAGAGAGAGAGAGGAGAGAGAGAGAGAGAGAGAGAGAGAGGAGAGTGGGTAAAAGACAGTTGAGCCCCTCTTATAACGCCACCCCTGAAACAAGGACACTGTATATTCTGTTTTCACATACAATTCTCTGAAGATAAACTAACGACACCTTTTCTTTCCCAAAGGGCAGTTTTAGCAATAATCTCTGAAATAAGGACACCTCACTAATAAGGACACTTTCTTCTGTCCCATTGGTGTCCTGATTAGAGGAGTTCCACTGTGCTAATTGGCTCTACCTGAAAGGTGTAGGCCCATCTCTTTGGTTCTCTGTAGAACATGTCCAGTAGATTCCCCCCGCACTGCTGAGAGGCTGTCACTGAGTCACCGGGGGAGTCCACGTTCTGCCACTTGGTGATGGGCTCTGAGATGACGTGATATGCCGGAGAGCTCTCTTTCAGCAGGCGGAGGAAGGTGGATTTGCCGGCAGCTGGAAGGGAAGGGAGAGAGGTTGCTGCGATTAGCCCGAGAGAGGAAATAAGATGATAGCTTGGAGGAAGATAGGGACAAGACGAAATTTTTGGAGCGAGATAGGGGAAAGAGGAAAGCTAGGAGTGAGATAAGGGAAGGTTGGAGCATGATAGGGGCAAACTATGAGGGGGTAGGGTGCAAGAGGCAGGCTTGGAGGGAGATGAGGGGAAATGTGATTACCTATGTTTCCTTCAACTGCGATCCTACGGAGTCCGCTCACTGCACTGGTACACAGCTTCTTGGCTGGAGAAATCATCTCCTCGTTTCCCTGCAGCTCTCCTTCTCCCGCTGCACAACGTTTTGCCATTCAACGACGAAGCCACAGCACGTGTTTGTGGGCGTGTCCGCAAGCGTATACGGAGCAAACGACACGGAGAAATACGGAACTTGTGAATTTCCGGATATCCTCGTGCCCGGACTTGGGTCCAGCACAGCGGTAGAGATGGCTCAGTATTTCCCCGGACTGAAGAGCCGTAACGACGCGGCGAGGCTCCGTGCGGCCCGAGACCTCCGAGAAGTACGTGTCTACTGAGCTGCGAGAACTGCCTGACGAGCAATCCAGCGAAATTCTGGATGACGTCAACCAAAATATATTCTCCCTCATCTCGAGCCAAGAGGTCCACGAGAAGAAGGGAGGGATCCTAGCCATAGGTGAGTGATCACGTGATCCTGAGCATGTGTCACGTGATTATATGTCTGCAGTGAGTCTGGTTGGTCTGGAGGGAGGAGGGAATGTCGCAAAGTTGGGTCGCTATGCCAACTACCTTCGTAGCATCCTTCCACACCCCGATGTGGCCCTTACCGAAATGACCGCCAAGGCCATTGGTCAGTTTTACCACCTCTCGTTAGTTTTTGTTTTTTATCTTCATCACTCAATGTCTCAGTTTCATGTTAATTGCTAGTATATACCACTAGCCCATTATGTTCATTGACCAAACCTACACTTTCTCTCTGGTTTGACTCTTTCTTTTCAGCTTTTTCTGTACTCTGTTCATGTGTTTATTTTCTATATGTATTACACATCTCCTCCTCCTCCTCCCGCAGGCCAGCTGGCTCTGGCTGAAGGGACGTACACTGCAGAGTACGTCCCTTCAGCCAGAACCCACATAGTTTCCCCAATCATGCTCCAACCCATGTCTCCCCTCCTCCTCCTCCGCAGGCCAGCTGGCTCTGGCTGAAGGACATACACGGCAGAGTAACGTGGAGTTCGAAGTGAGGCGAGCTCTCGAGTGGATCGGAGGAAAACGAACACAAGAGACTCGCAGCTGTTAGCTTCTCTGACACACACACACACCTCTCTCTCTCTCTCTCATTCTTGTTGGAAATCTTTCGACCTTGAAGCAACAAGCAGTAGAATTTTGCACTAACCACAAACTTTCACATAGACAACAATTTGGTTCACAATTCTTGTATATGATTTGCGAAAGTTTTCTCCACCAATTTGGGCATCTCATCCACACTCCTTTCTCTCCCTCTTTCGTTCCTCTTATTTCCTCCCTCCTTTCCCCTCATTCTGCAGGTCCTGATTCTGAGGGAGCTGGCAGTTCATACCCCCACACTCTTCTACCAACAAATCCAACAGTTCTTTGACAACATATTTACCGCCATCAGGGATCCCAAGGTATCACATGACTTGATCACATGACCTCTAGCAAAATCATGTGACTTTCGCATAGATCACATGACCTCGGGCAAAATCACATGACCTATGATTGTAATTTTCATGACCTTAACTTTCTCCTACCTCAGACCTGTACATATAGGCAAGAGCTAGGATAACTCCACTAATGTCACATGATAGTCACATGACATCAGACAAGTCACATGACTCACCTCTCCTGGTGCAGGCTCTAATCAGGGAGAGGGCGGTGTCAGCGTTGAGGGCGTGTCTGAGACTGACGGCACAAGAGGGAGACAAAAGCGGCAGGCGACAAACACGCGAGCGCTACAGAGAGCTTACTATGATGTAAGCACTAATGGCCTTGGGGAAGGTCTCCGCACGTGAGAAAATGGCTAATCTCAGCCGTGTACGACCGTATCGCATGATGCTCCTCCCATCATAATCAACGAACTCATTATGAAGCAGTGCAGGGAATGCCGAGGGTAATAAGATGTAATGTAACTAGCAGAGAGGTAATGTGAGGTATAATGATGTCTCTAGCCTAAACAGTGGGACTAAACTTAATTGAAGACAAGTTCACTTATTAGGAACGGTGTCGGATGTGTCAAGGAGTGAAATTGCACCCAAGAACTGTTCTTGGGGACATAAGAGAGCAGGCGAGCTGGCCTTATGTCAAGAGTGTCCTCAGAGCAGGAGGGTCCATGTATGCAGTGAATATATGATACACCCAACAAAGCCGACTGCAGTAGCAGCACATTTACCTTTGTAACTCCCTCTCTCCCTCCCTGCCTGTCAGAGTCTCCGGCCGGAGCTGAGCGACCCGGAAGAGAACGAGGACACAAGGACTGACATACTCATGGAGGGAGAGCACAAACACTCCATCGTCTCGGCTGCGATAGAGGTCAGAGGTCGAATGGAACCAGGCCAGGTTGCCAAAGGACACCTGTGAATAAAGGACACTTTCCATGTCCCCAAGGTGTCCTTTTTCAGTGTGTGTTTCTTATTCCGAAATAGGCGGTTTCCAGGCACTCTAGGGACAGGAACTGTTCGGAGGTTCCTGGTTCGCACAGGGCTACGCCGGTGGGAAAAGAGTTAATTCAAGGTGAGGAGTCGTGTGACTGTCATGTGATGTCACATGACCACGAGTGGGCTCCACAGGCGATGCCAAGCAAGGCGTGTCAGCAGTTTATGATGAGGAACTTTGACGACGTCTGCCGCCTGTTTTTCAAGAACAGAACCAGTCGAGTATGCTGATTCAGCAGACGTTGATGACTCTCCTTCCTCGTATCGCTGCCCTTAACCAGGACCTCTTGCACTCAGTGAGTAAAAAGCTGTACTCATGGCAAATTTGTTTGGGTGAACTAAGACCAGCTATAGCTATACATGTACCCCAATGATGCTATTTATTCACTGTGCATCTTTTGCAAGGTAACAAGCATGGTCAGTTGATGTAAAAAGTTGAAATGAAACTCTATAATTCATCTCCATCTCTCTGTGATTCAGTCACTGACGGACGGAGGTGAGCTACTGCAGGGCTGTTGAGGAAGGAGAGGGAGAAGGCAGCTGCATTCAGGTCCATGGGGTTCATGGTCTATGTGTTGAAGGACAGAATGGATCTGGAGCCTGTGCTGCAGACCGTCAAGACCAGCCTCCCCACCGGCAGGAGGGTCCCTACCAAGTGAGCTTCTCCTCCTTCTCTGCCTCTTCTCTTTTTCTTTATTAATTCTCACTCTTCTCTATTGATATTTTATCTCAATTCTCTTTCTGTTTACTCTCTTACTCCTTTGTTTATCTCTTTCTCTTCTCTCTCTCTCTCTCTTTCTCTTCTCTCTCTTTCTTTTTTCTCTTAAAAAGTTACCATGTAAACATACAGAGTGTTCTTAGAGAGGAGTTCCGAAACAAGGATGAACTTTACTCCCCCAACCCCAGGAGAGCTAGTCGCAGTGGGTCGGCCTATGAGCCGTCCGTGTTCCTGTGTATCAGTATGCTGGCCAGGGCGGTGGGAGGGAACATAGAGAGCGAGATGAGCGGGATGCTGGACCAGATGTTCTCCGCAGGACTCACTGTTGAGCTGACCTCTGCCCTCCAGGTCCTCTCGGAGAGGATTCCTACACTACAGAGAGAGATTCAAGGTGTAACTCTACCGCCTCAGTTTGTCGATACACACAACGTGCCCCTTTTGTGTGAACTTTGAAACTGAAACTACGTAAGATTGCTTCCTTGTCTCAACATGGGAACCTGTTTCGAATATAAATAGTGCATTTTTCGCTTGAATATTATGAGAACCTGACAAGATTCTATGGCATTACAGCATGTTGTACATTACAGCATGTAGTACATGTACATGCAAACCTGTGCACTAGGACTAACATGCATGTAGTTGACTTGTTTGCCTTGCCTTGCCTTTCTACCTCGTTACCAAGTTGTTGAGACATGCAATGCACAATGCCGAATATGGCTACAAAGACTCGTTAGTGCAGTGTTAATACATACACATACTGTAGTTGTAAGGAGTTAATGATTGTAGTATGTATGTGTGTGCATCGTATTCCCACAGATGGGCTGTTGAAGATGCTGTACATGGTTCTTCTGCACCAGCAACTGAGGCACCCAGGAGCTCCCAAGACCCAAGCAGCCGCTCTCCAACCCACCCCTCCTGTATATACTCCTCCTTCCTCTCTCTCATTTCCTAACCATCTATCTCCTTCCTTTACCTACCCCATATAATGACGTCTACCCCTCTCCTCGTTACCATCACATACTCATTTAATGCCCATCTCTATGCAGGGAAACGTAATGGAGGCAGACATCCCAAGTGTAACTCTAGCTCCTAAAGACTCTCGGATCCATTCAACTTTGGAGGTGGTACAATGCTACGGCATACAAACCCCTCTATCTATTGACGTTTTGTTCATGCTCTTACACATAAAGGAGCGATAGTGTGCAGAGTGTCGGGGTTCGAATCCCACCAGAGGCAGCTCTTCTCTTTTTTCCTTGGAAAGAAAGAGTTGTCCTGGGTGTAGTTGACTTGTTTGATGTGCCTTTGCCTCTTCTCCTGAGCTTGGTGTCTTATGGTGTCCTTGCTTTATATACATATATATGAGCATCCTTACATCCCTAACCTTTGTACCCTCTCTCTCTCTGTCTCAGCCTCCCCACCGTTGCAGCTGGTACAGATCTGTGCGGAGCACTACCTGACCTCAGAGCACCGCTCGGTCAGAATGGAGGCCGTCAAGACGTGTGCTGCTCTCCTGGTCCCCTCTCTCCTCCCTCCCTCCATCTTCACCACTCCCTTCGTTCAATTCTCACAGGCTTCTGCTCAGGTGACGTCGGGTGTCCAGCTAATCCTACCTCTAACCCTTGCCCCATACTGTGTGACTAGAAATTATGTACTCCAAATGACGCACACCTGTTTTTCCATGTGCGCGGGTTGCGCGGGGAAACAGTGTCGCGGGCACTTAGTTAAACCTGACGTTAGTTACTACGAGATTTAGTGCGCACGTTTCATACATGAGTGTGTGCTAAGGTATGCCTGGTAAGGGATTATAACCCAATCACTGTGTGCTAAGGTATGCCTGGCAAGGATTATAACCCAATCACTGTGTGTGTAGAGTAGATGTGCATTTTCTGCGATAGTGAACGAAAGTTTGTGTCAACAAGAAACAGATTTATACCACACTAACTTCTTCCTTCCTCTATTTCTGTACACATCAGGTGGTGGGAGAAGTCCTCAGTAAGATGTTGGTCGTTGGTATCACTGATCCAGGTACATATACATACACCATACTTACTAGAGCCCTTTGAACGCCATGGGTATCTCCTTAAATAAGCAGAAATTGATGTTTTGTTACATATTAACGGCTCGTATTATAGCCATATGTAAATTCTTATGGACTTATGGAGGCTCTGGGCATTATATATATATAATATATATATATATATAATTATTAAGGGTTACACTATATATATATACTTACTATACATGCATGTCATGGTGTTTGTAGAGTGCGATGGTCCTATGTTTATTGATAGATACTTTGTATAATAAGATTGGTATGTAATTCCTCATTTTGTCTCTCTCTCTCTGCGTACAACGTATCCCAGACGATGAGATCAGGGAGTGTGTGTTCCTGTCACTGGACAAGAGGTTTGATCCTCATTTGGCACAGGCCGAGAGCCTCACCACTCTCTTCATGGCCATGCAAGATGGAGTGAGCTAATCTAATCTTTAAAGACAATGTGGTAATGTATAATGGCTAGCTCTAGAGAAGGACGGAATTATAATTGCATTCTATAACTGGGCCCTATTGTTTAGTTCCATCTTTAGTAACATTCTAAATTTAGCCCTTATGTAATGACACGTTCCCTTTATTACGTAACTCTCTCTATGGACTTACTATCTGAACAGCATTCTCATGTATATACATACATTGGAAACATGCAAGAGCTTGCAAACGAACTTTTAAAAAATATTTTTTCCTGTCAGTGAGTAAAGGTGGCGATGATAATAGGAAAAGATTGTGTGGAGGAAACACGAGCAGGCGATGTCAGTCCCCTTTCCCCTCCCCCCAGGTGTTTCGCATCAGGGAACTGGCGATGTGTATCATAGGCCGACTCAGCAGTCTCAACCCGGCCTTCGTCATGCCGACGCTCCGCAAGGTCCTGATCCAGATCCTGACGGAGCTGGAGTACAGCGGGGTCGGCCGGAACAAGGAGCAGAGTGCCAAGCTACTGGGACATCTTGTGGCAAACGCTCCTAAACTAGTCAGACCTTACCACGCCCCAATTCTCAAGGTAAGAGAGAGTGAAGCGAGCAGTTGAATATTTCAGTCACGTGTGATTTACGCAATGTTGTATTTAGAATCACGTGAACATTACGGTATAGATGTGCAGTTCTCGTCTCGGACGTTACTTATAGAATAACCCTGCATTGTGCAGGTGCTCATTCCGAAACTGAAGGAGCCAGATTTGAATCCCAACGTTGTCATCAACATCGTGGCCACCATTGGGGAACTGGTGCAGGTGAGGGGCCAAATTTTCCAAACTTCTCGAACTCCTAATTAGAACGTGGGGGGAACGACAGACCAACAAACTATGAGAATGGAGTGAAAATTTCTTAACTTCTTGCAAGCATGTGATTGGGATGGACAGACCAACCAGAGCAAAGCTTTCGTTGTTGTTGTTTCATCTCTGTCAGTTGTGTCTCTATCTCTCGCGGAGACAGGTTGCCAGGAGACCATCTGTGTGTCAGGACCTCGGTCCCATCCTCCTGACGAGGCTGCGGACTCAGCTCGTCTGGCAAGTGAGAGGTGGCCTCTCTGGACGTTTGACACTGGTGTAGAAATCCGGGTGAGTGGAGGGACGAAACCAAACAGATTTAGAGTCCTGATCTATACAGAGTCACTGGATACAGTGTAGCATATCTCCAGTGTTGACTTTGAAGTTGCGAGCAACAAAGGGTACACTGATTATTCCTGGGGCTGTTTACTAATTCCCCTCTCTCCCTGTGTCAGATATGTGATAGAGCCTACCACAGTTCCCCTACACGCTGCTGACACTGTTCTCTGCTTTCTCATTTCATTTCTCAAGACGGAGCAACCGTCTGGCGTCAAGAGAGAGGTAGTGTCACCCCATCTTTCTTCTGCCCTCTTTACCTCTCATTCCATAAAGATCTTCATCCATTATCTCTCATTCAAGATCTTCACCCATTTCCGACCTATCCTCCCCTCAATGTTCTCTCTTACCAGATAATTCCACCATTTCTTCGCAGAGTGACTCCATTTCTCTCCCCCCTCTGTTGTCCAGGTGGTGAGAGTCCTGGACTGCTGGGAGCCCTGGACCTTACAACACAAGCACAGCCAGAGGAACTGTCAGCCCAGCAAGATGGGGACGCCTCTCAGTAAACCAATGGACAAGACCACTCCCGACGTCACTGGTACGTAATCTGCACACCATACAGTGGGAGACAGTTTATGATGCATACAGTGGAACCTCCTAATAAATGTACCAGAATGATAAAAAAGATCCGTGACCTGCGGGTGATAGAAGCATCCCATACATGTCGGCGTGCATGATTACATAACACACCGATCAAGGGAAATCTCATCTGTGGCCTTTATTTGGAGGATCGTGTGTTCCATTAGCGGAGGTGCTTATGTATCACTTCTTCCCCAATAGCAGTTGGAGATCAGCCAGTGCCTGCCTGGTCTCCATGTGTATGGAGCCAGTCTGGAGGATTTCTACTACCCCTCAATTGCCATCAACTCCCTCATGAGAATACTCAAAGACCAGTCCTCTCTCTCTCAACACCACACCATGCCATTCAGGTGTGATGTCATCATTACTGTCATGGGGTATGATGCATTGTTATTATGTTTCCGTACAGGCTCTGGGTTCATATTCAAAGTCTGGGATCAAATCGGTGCCTTATCTACCACAAGTGAGTTCTCTCCTCAAACTTGTGTTTAATGTACCTTTTCTCCTCCCCTCCCCCCTGACTAGGTGATGCCACCATTTCTGCATGCTCTCTGCAGCTGCATCTCGACCTGCGGGAGTACATGTTCAAGCAGCTCGCCCAGATCGTCTCAATCATCAAACAACAACGCACGAGATTACATCAGGACATCTTCTTCCTCCTTCATCAGGTGAGGATGGAGGGAGGGAGGGAGGGGTTTGGAGATGTAGAGGCAGTGTCAGCAATGGTCACATCAAGCTTACTACGGAAACACACTGTCCCCTGAGGCTATTTGTTGTTGTTCAAACAAAGTGTTTTGTCATGTTATCCATACGCATACTACCAAGTTTCATCTCCATGCGCGTAACATACATCTGCTGTGATCTACATACAACCACCCTATCCTGCACACAAAAATAGAACAAACATTGTAATGATCAAACAAATGTTCTTCCTTCTCTCCCTCTCTTCCATCTCTCCCTTTTTCTACTCCTGCTCCTCCTTCCCTCTCCCTCTCTCTCCATTCCTTCTCTTCCCTCTCTCTCCATTCCTTCTCTTCCCTCTCTCTCCATTCCTTCTCTTCCCTCTCTCTCTATTCCTTCTCTTCCCTCTCTCTCCATTCCTTCTCTTCCCTCTCTCTCCATTCCTTCTCTTCCCTCTCTCTCCATTCCTTCTCTTCCCTCTCTCTCCATTCCTTCTCTTCCCTCTCTCTGCTCCTCCTCTCTCTATTCCTTCTCTTCCCTCTCTCTCCATTCTTCTCGTCCCTCTCTCTCCATTCCTTCTCTTCCCTCTCTCTCTATTCCTTCCTCTCCTCTCTCTCCATTCCTCTCTTCCCTCTCCTCTCCCTTCCTTCTCTTTCCCCTCTCCTCCATCCTTCTCTTCCCTCTCTCTCCATTCCTTCTCTTCCCTCTCTCTCTATTCCTTCTCTTCCCTCTCTCTCCATTCCTTCTCTCCCAATCTTCTCTCCATTCTTCTCTTCCCTCCTCTCCATTCCTTCGTCTTCCTCTCTCTTCTCCTCCTCTCCTCTTCCTTCTCTTCCCTCTCGCAATCCCTTCCTTCTCTTCCCTCTCTCTCTCTTCCTTCTCTTTTCTCGGTTTCCCTCCTCTCCATTCCTTCTCTTCACCTCTCTCCTCCCTTCTTCTCTTCCCTCTCTCCCCTTCCTTCTCTTCCCCTCTCTCTCCCTTCCTTCTCGTTTCCTCTCTCCCCTTCCTTCTCTTCCTCTCTCTCCCTCTCCTTCTCTTCCGCTCCTCTCTTCTTCTCCTTCCTCTCTCTCTTCCTTCTCTTCCCTCTCTCTCCCTGTCCTTCTCTTCTCCCTCTCTCATCCCTTCCTTCCTTCCCTCTCTTCTCTTTCCCTTCTCTTTTCCCTCTCTCCTCTCCTTCCTCTCTCTTCCCTCTCTCTCCATTCCTTCTCTTCCTCTCTCTCTATTCCTTCTCTTCCATCTCTCTCCCTCTCTCTGCTCCTCCTTCCCTCTCTATCCCCCTCTCCCTCTCTCTCTATTCCTTCTCTCTCTCTCTCTCTCTGCTCCTCCCTCGTCTCCCCCAGGAGTTCTGGACGACCGAGCACCAGCACCTCCAGAACACCATCATTCTCCTCATAGAGAAGATAGTGGCCGGGATGGGGGACGAACTCAAGATCTACATTCCACGCATGGTGGAGCCGGTCCTGAAACTCTTCCTCCAAGACCAGAGCAAAATGAAGATCTCCACGCAGAAGGTCGGTCATCACTGGCTCTCCACCCAACTCTCTCTCTCTCTCTCTCTCTCTCTCTCTCCTCACTAGATGCTGGCAGCCCTACAACTGTGTGGAGCTAGTCTTGACGACTACCTCCATCTCCTGATTCCTCCCATTGTCAAGGTCTTTGAGACCGACACCAACCCCACGGACGTCAGGAGGTTAGTTTACTAGAGATTACTGACTAAATATACTGACATCAGGAGGTTAGTTTACTAGAGATTACTGGCTAGTTTACGGGGAAAATACTGACACCAGGAGGTTAGTTTACTAGAGAGTCATGTGACCAGTCATGTGACCTCCCTCCACCAGGACTGCCCTGGAGACCATTGAGAAACTAAGTCAGACTGTCAACTTCAGCGACTATGCCTCTCAGATCATACATTCCATTGTTGTCGTCCTGGATACCAGCTCAGAGCTCCGCCCTGTTGCCATGGACGCACTCTGCTCCCTAATGACCCAGCTCGGCCAGCGGTACAAGATCTTCATCCCCATGGTGAAAAAGGTGCTGATTGCATTCTTTCATCCCACTTGCATCCTATTTCATAATATAAAGAACATTTATTGGCGTTCTATTAATTTTTAAGTGAGTTTGTGTTATATATGGACAAGATAGTAAGGGATACCTCTAAATATGGACTATTGGTGTCCAAAGGTGTCCCTTATTTGGAGGTTTCATTGTTTATTGATACAACTGTGGTTTCTGTCCCTCTTGCCACTTAGGTGATGACCAAGAACAAATATAACTACACAAACTACGAGCTGCTCCTCGTAAGACTCCTCAGAGTAAGTTCAGGACACCTCTCACACCTGTCCCTATAGGACAACAATCCTCCCTGTCCTACAGGACGAACCACTCTCCCCTGAGGATGACGTCGATCGACAACTGAAGGCTGGAAAATCGAAATCTGTGGAAGACGACTCGGCAGAAATCGAGGCTGCATCGTTCAAGAAATTCCCTCTGGAACCAAATGCCCTGACACGGGTGTGTTAATTAGTGGGTGTGGTCGGTGGGTGTGGTCTCATTCCAGGCCCCTCCCACTAGGCATGGTCGTCGGTCGGACGTGTCTCGAAGGAGGACTGGGTGGAGTGGCTGCGGAGGTTGGGGGTGGAGCTACTGAAGGAAAGCCCCTCCCCCTCGTTAAGGTCGTGCTGGGCGCTGGCCCAGGCCTACAATGCTCTAGCCAGAGAGCTGTTTAACGCTGCCTTCGTCTCCTGTTGGATGGAACTGAGGTGAACTGTGTGTGTAGTGTTGGAGAGTGGGAGCTATTTTAGGCATATACACGTAAATGTAGCACTTCTTGGTATAAATCTTTAAAGGAGAGAACCTTTGATGAGCCATCAGTGGAAATTTTTATTTTGTACAGTTTGTGAAACATAGTTGAACTGTTGTCTATAATATGGCATTGGATTTTGTTGCACGAACGGTTGTGTGCGAATTAAGCATAGCTGATTTAAATCGAGCAATCTGATTGGTCCACACGAGGTACTTGATTTCCCGTAGTATACCTGGGATGCTCCGTAGTAAACCTCGTTTTTCATGTAAAATTTTCGGTTTGGTTTCTTCCCTCTTCCCTCCTCCCCCTTCTCTTCCCTCCTCTCCCTTCTCTTCCCTCCTCTCCCTTCTCTTCCTCCTCTTCCTCCCTCTCCCTCCTCTCCCTCCTCTCCCTCCTCTCCCTTCTCTCCCTCCTCTTCCCTCCTCTCCCTTCTCTTCCCTCCTCTCCCTCCTCCCCCTTCTCTTCCCTCCTCTCCCTTCTCTTCCCTCCTCTCCCTTCTCTTCCTCCTCTTCCTCCCTCTCCCTCCTCTCCGTCCTCTCCCTCCTCTCCCTCCTCTCCCTCCTCTCCCTCCTCTCCCTTCTCTCCCTCCTCTTTCTCCGTCCCTCCTCTTCCTCCTCTCCCTTCTCTTTCTCCGTCCCTCCTCTCCCTTCTCTTCCCTCCTCTCCCTCCCTCTTCCTCCTCTTCCCTCCTCTCCCTTCTCTTCCCCCCTCCCCCTCCCTCTCCCTCCTCTCCCTCCGTCCCTCCAACTCGTGACCACCAGGAGGCCTACTGGTCACGACCTGAGACAGGCTCTCACCCATCAGACCATCCCCGAGATCACTCAGACCATTCTCAACCTGGCCGAGTTCATGGAGCACTGCGAGGAGGCTACCGTGGGTGGATTATACCACTTATTGTACCCCTGACTCTATATACTCTTACTTCATTCATATACATACATATACTCCATTCTAGTATACCTAGTAATAGTAGTCTAAGATTATTGACACATGTGAGTGAGATAGGGGGTAGGATGTGATATTGGTACACATGTGAGTGAGATAGGGGGTAGGATGTGATATTGGTACAGATGTGAGTGAGATAGAGGATGGAACGAAAGGTTTTAGTGAGATAGAATGTGTGAAAAGGCAAAATGATGTGGGAGTGAGATAGAGAGGTAGAGTTGTATTGAGATGAGGGGGAAGAGTTAAAGAAATACGTGATGATGAAATGTTGCGGTGTCATTTCCCTGACTCCTCGTCCGTAGGGTCGTCTCCCCCTCTCGTCTGAGCTACTCGGGGAGTGTGCCATGTCCTGCAGGGCCTACGCCAAGGCCCTCCACTACAAGGAGGAGGACTTCCACCGCGGGTCCCACCAGCAACAACCTGGAGGCTCTCATCTCCATCAACAACAAACTGCAGCAGCCAGATGCCGCAGCCGGCGTGCTTGTCTTTGCCAAACAGCAAATCAAGGGAGATTTCGTAAGTCTGTGTGTCTTGGGGATTGTGTGTGACCCTCGGCGGCGCGCATGCGCAGCGAGGGTTACGTCTCTCCGTCCCGTCTGCTGTCTGTCCGTCTGTCCACGTTTTCTGCCACCACGCGCGACAAACAGGTAAATAGCGTACCACGGTTCTGCTCACTTTTGGCTGTTGCTGTGTATTGTTTACCATTCTGTTTATTGTTTACTGTTGTTGTTTATCATTTGATTGGCTGTTGCTGAGTATTGTTTACCATTCTGTTTATTGTTTACTGTTGTTGTTGTTGTTGTTTGTTGTTGTAAGAGCAGAAGGTGCAGGAGAAGTGGTATATGAGTCTCAATGACTGGGAGGCTGCCTACAAGGCGTACACAGAGAGACAGAAACAGAGACCTGACGACATCTCTCTCACCCTCGGGAAGATGAGGTGTCTCCACGCCATGGGGGAGTGGTGAGTCCCAGAACCAAACGTCGGGTTTGAAACACACATCTGACTTTACAGCAACATACGTATACCTTCTGTAGTGATTTTTTGCCCAACTAAACCTGTTACTAGTTGTCTGAATCATTTATCTTCCTCTCCCCTCTCCCTCTCCCCTCTCCCCTCTCCCTCTTCACTCTCTCCCCTCACTCTCTCCCTCTCTCCCCTCTCCCCCCAGGACAAGGCTGTATGAGATGGCCTGTGAGAGCTGGGGACTGGGAGATGACACCACGCGACAGAAGATGTCCGTCATGGCCTCTGCGGCGGCCTGGGGACTGGGACAGTGGGAGAGCATGGAGGAATATGTCCGCAGCATTCCGAAGCACACCATGGAGGGCTCCTTCTACCAGGCCCTTCTCCACATCCACCAAAAGGAGTTCGATGATGCCCAGAAGGTTAGGAGTGAAGCGATTTTGAAAATTCATTCCAGTATTTTTGATATTTTTTGCACACCAAAATGCCAAAATCAAACAAAAAATACAACAAAACAACACCTATTATATTCCCTATTCACCGGCATAGTGCGGGAAAGTAAATTACGAAGTTTTAACTGAGCTATCTTCTAGGTTTTAGTTGTATCACATGGTTGTGATCCTTAATTCAAAAGGGTGAATTTTTAAACTCTCCAAAATGTTTTTCATTGTTCCATCCCTCCTCTGATCAGTGTATTGACTTGTCACGTGACATCCTGGTTACGGAGCTGACGACCCTGGCAACGGAGAGCTACAGCCGAGCCTACGGAGTGATGGTTTCAATCCAACTGCTGTCGGAACTGGAAGAGACCGTTCTGTGCCTTATGCAGAGCGACAGGAAGACTCAGCTTCAGCAGACCTGGTGGAATAGACTTCTGGTATATTAGTACTAACGGTGACTTTGACTTTTATATTGACTTGGCTGCAGGGCTGTCAGCGTAACACGGAAGACTGGCAGAGGATACTGCAGGTAACATCCCATACCCCCATTCTCATACCGTTTTCTGATCCATTTTCAAACTGTAATTCCCAATTCCATTCCCTCAGACCCCATTCCCTGTTCCTTCATTTACACACTGCTTTTTAATTCTATCGTTCCCAATTCCCCATTCCCATACTGTCATTCCCCTATTCCCACACTCCCAATTTCCCATTCCCAACCTCCCATTCCCCCAGGTCCGGTCCATAGTCCTGAGTCAGCAGGAGGAGATTCAGTCTTGGGTCAAGTTTGCCAGCATCTGTCGAAGATCAGACAAGATGGCGCTATCAGAGAGAACTCTGCGCTCAATCCTCAGCCACGACCCTGCCTACTCCACAGAGGAGCCTCTCTCTGATAAATACCCCTCTGTGAGTGGGTTATGAACCTCTCTCTGATAAATACCCCTCTGTGAGTGGGTTATGAACCTTATGAACCTCTCTCCAATAAATACCCCTCTGTGGGTGTGTTATGAACCTTATGAACCTCTCTCCGATAAATACCCCTCTGTGAGTGGGTTATGAACCCTATGAACCTCTCTCCGATAAATACCCCTCTGTGAGTGGGTTATGAACCCTATGAACCTCTCTCCGATAAAAACCCCTCTGTGAGTGGGTTATGAACCTTATGAACCTCTCTCCGATAAATACCCCTCTGTGGGTGTGTTATGAACCTTATGAACCTCTCTCCGATAAATACCCCTCTGTGGGTGTGTTATGAACCTTATGAACCTCTCTCCGATAAATACCACTCTGTGGGTGTGTTATGAACCTTATGAACCTCTCTCCGATAAATACCCCTCTGTGAGTGTGTTATGAACCTTATGAACCTCTCTCCGATAAATACCACTCTGTGGGTGTGTTATGAACCTTATGAACCTCTCTCCGATAAATACCCCTCTGTGAGTGTCTTATGAACCTCTCTCCGATAAATACCCCTCTGTGAGGTGACGTAATTTTCCATTTGATTCCTTCCCCTCTGTTCCTGGCGCCAGGTGACGTTTGCATTCGTGAAGCATCTCTGGCAGACGGGAGAGAGAGATCGGGCCTTCGACTTCCTCTCTAAGTTTGTCCGCACACTGCAACCTTTGACCCCGGCAACCCAGAACACTCAGGACACTCGTCTGTTGGCACGGTAACTAAATACGTGTATACACAGGTTACTGCATGTGGGGCTCTGTGCCTTAGCACGGATCTGCGGGGTTTGCCCCTGCCCTAAATAATCAATAGAGAATGTTAATCAATGACGTAATGATGATGTAATATCATGCTGAATAGTTAAAGGGTAATGCTGCATGAACGTCTGTACATCGAAGCAAAAATTGGCAAACAATGGGATACTCATAGGTTTAGGTCTTGCTAGTAAGATGAGACACTGATGTAATGATGATGTAATCTGGCAGCTGCTACCAGAAGCTGGGAGACTGGCGGTTGCAACTGGAGGAGAGGGGAGGGAGTGTCCCCAGCATAGGGCCCGCCATAACTGCCATTCTGCAGCACTACCACAGAGCTACTGAGTACAACCGATCCTCCTACAAGGCCTGGCATGCCTGGGCCTTCATGAACCTCCAGGCCCTCCTGGAGCACAAGAAACCCTCCTCTGGTATATAGATATAGCACCTCCTCTGGTGCAGTATATATATATAGTACCTCCACTGGTGCAGTATATAGATATAGCACCTCCTCTGGTGCAGTATATAGATATAGCACCTCCTCTGGTGCAGTATATAGATATAGCACTTCCTCTTGTGCAGTATATAGATATAGCACCTCCTCTGGTGCAGTATATAGATATAGCACTTCCTCTTGTGCAGTATAATATAGATATAGCACCTCCTCTGGTGCAGTATATAGATATAGCACTTCCTCTTGTGCAGTATATAGATATAGCACTTCCTCTTGTGCAGTATATAGATATAGCACCTCCTCTGGTGCAGTATATAGATATAGCACCTCCTCTTGTGCAGTATATAGATATAGCACTTCCTATTGTGCAGTATATAGATATAGCACCTCCTCTGGTGCAGTATATAGATATAGTACCTCCTCTGATACAGTATATAGATAGTACCACCCCTCAGGAACAGATATAGTACCGCCTTCCATACTCTTACCTGCCATTTTCTATTGCCGCTACCCAGGGAAGGCAGCTGTTTATTCGACCCCTGGGGAAATTGGGCGCTCCTCGTCAAATGACCAGCAGACCACACCCACGTCAGAGTCACGTGACCTGCATGCCCCACCCACCGAGACGAAGCTGATCACGTACGCATGCTCGGCCGTCCACGGTTTCTTCCGTTCCATCTCTCTCTCCCAGCAGAGCTCTCTTCAGGACACTCTGAGGTCAGGCTACATTTCACTTTCAATTTCCTCTGCCGTAGTTCTCATAATTCCTGTACCATTATCATCAGTAAGTAACACATGTGGTTGGAGTACAGATGATCAGTTGTATATGGAAATTTTGATGGCAACAAACCAGTACAGTTATACTACTCGTTCCAGTCTCTCCCTACATACCTCTCCCCCCCCAGACTGTTAACCCTGTGGTTTGACTACGGTCACTATCCTGACGTCCACGATGCAGTCACTGACGGTCTCAAGACTATAGACATTGATACATGGCTACAGGTGATATAGGAGAGGGATTATGTAATGATGCATCATTATGAGAGGGATTATGTAATGATGCATCATTATGAGAGGGATTATGTAATGACACATCATTATGAGAGAGATTATGTAATGACACATTATGAGAGGGAGTACATGTAATGATGTTCTATGCCCCTCTCTATCATCTCCCTGTCCTTGGATCAGGTAATTCCCCAGCTCATCGCTAGGATCGACCATCCTCGACGACTGGTGGCCAAACTGATCCACGACCTCCTCACTGACGTGGGGAAACAGCATCCTCAGGTAGCCACCATCATCATCACACTGATACACTGCACATATACATGTAGGTAATCACCACTGTACCAATGCTGAATGTACAAAATTAAACAGATAAACAGGAAGCCAATTGCATTCTTCGCTAGGCCCTAAATATTATATTACTAATAAATGCTGTCAGATTCCCTTTAACTACAAATGTTACAAGCTCATTTTTCTTAACAAAGTTGGCAGGGGTACGAGGGAATTTGATGAGAGGTCTGAAACACTATTAAATATGGTTTCCACACGTTACTTCCCTCCCTCCCTCTTTCCTTTCCTCCTCTCCTCCTTCCTTCCATCTCCCTCTCTCCCTTCCTTCCATCTCTCTCTCCCTTCCATCTCCCTCTCTCCTCTCCTCCTTCCATCTCCCTCTCTCCTCCCCCAGGCTCTCATCTACCCACTGACAGTAGCCAGTAAGAGCCAGAGCCCCATGAGACGTGCGGCGGCAGACACAATCCTCCAGAACATGACTGAACACAGCAGCCGTCTGGTCCAGCAGGCAATTCTGGTCTCAGAGGAGCTAATAAGAGTGGCCATCCTCTGGCATGAACAGTGGCACGAGGGGCTGGAGGATGCTTCCCGGTAATAGGCAGTCAGTTGAGATGTACATACTACATGTGTGCATGTCTCAACAACTTGGTAGCGAGGTAGAAAGGCAAGGCAAGGCAAACAAGTCAACTACACCCAGGACAGCTCTTTCTTTTCAAAGAAAAGAAGAAGAGCTGCCCTGGGTGGGATTCGAACCCACGACACTCTGCAGTCTAGGCGAGCGCTCCACCAAGTACAGTGAAACCTCTGAATATGAGACACTGTGGGGGACATTGAAAGTGTCCGATATTCAGAAGTTAACACTTTACATGTAAAAAATTGTAAGTGATGGGGAGTTGTATTATACCACTGGTGTGAACACAAATTATATAGCTATCTGCTGCCGTTTATAAAGTGTCTTCTGTTCTTTCTCTGACTCTCTAAACACTGTTTGATGATTATCGGTTGCCCCTCCCCTCTGCCCCTCTCTCTCTCTCTCCCAGGATGTACTTTGGGGAGCACAATGTGAAGGCCATGTTCTCGATCCTGGAACCACTCCACCACAGAATGGAACGCGGACCTGAGACCCTCAAGGAGATATCCTTCAACCACGTGAGACACACCGTCACTCATGTACTCTCTTGTTCTTTAACAAATTTACATGACAAAAAGAATCCCTCAAAATTTTTATTCGCACAATATCTCGTGAATAGGACGGCAGGTGCACTGCAAAAAAAAGTATACAATAATATCTCTCTTCCTCTGGTCTATATGTACATGTATGTATAGGCCTATGGAAGGGACCTGGCTGAGGCCTATGAATGGTGTAAGAAATACCAGAGCACTGCGAATGTGAAGGAACTGACTCAGGCCTGGGAACTGTACTACCACGTCTTCAGAAAGATCTCCAAACAACTACCGCAGGTGAGTCTAGAAATCTCCTGTGCCAACATTACATTTATCTCTGAACCCTTTGGACGCCATGGGGATGTGCTTAAATAAGCATAATTTGATGTATAAAGTATTAGCACCTAGTATTATAACCCCTATATAAATTCTTATGGATTTATGGAGTCTCTGGGCACATTTATGTGTCGGTGGTGTTAAGTGTTAACAGTATTGTGGGTTTGAGTCACTTTATGGCAACTGGTTGGTTGGTGACTGGTTTTCTGCCAGAGTTGGGGCGTTGCCTTTACCTTGTGTGGGGTTGTATTGTGGACCGTTGAAGACTGTGCACTCTGCTCGTATCACCATTACTGATCATGTGTACTGTTCTGTTAGTAGATCACGTGTAAGCCCATCTTGCTGAGCTGCCGTGGCTGGTAGCACAGAGTGTAGCCCTTCTCTTTGCCCTCTGCTACTCTTTTGTCGTCCGAGAATTGATAATAATCCTCTCTTTCTCTCTCAGTTGACGACTCTAGAACTGCAGTATGTGTCTCCGAAGCTGATGGGTTGCGTTGACCTGGAGCTGGCAGTCCCCGGGACCTACGAACCCAACCAACCAGTTGTCCACATTCGGAAGGTGTCCGCCACTCTCAATGTCATCACGTCCAAACAGAGACCTCGGAAACTGGTCATCCAGGGTGAGAACAGATTCAGAATTAGGGCAACAACTTAGAGACCACGCCCCATTGTTGATTGACCACACCCATCCTGATTAAAACCACACCTACTATGATTGAACACTCAAGGTTGTGTACCCTGCTTACTTATTCGTTTATGGAGCAACGAGAGATTCAATGTAAGCACAGTCCAAATAATAATTTAGACCACGCCCACCCAGATTAAGACCACACCTACTACGACGCCGTATGCTCCGGTTCACCTTTACACGTATTGTTGTTACCGCCATCCCCCTCCAGGGAGCAATGGTAGGGACTACATGTTCCTACTGAAGGGACACGAGGACCTCAGACAGGACGAGAGGGTCATGCAGCTGTTTGGTCTGGTAAACACTCTCCTTGGCAACGACCCCGAGACCTTCAAGAGGCACCTCAGGTCAGTTTACCCTTGACCCCAGATACTGTTCAATCACACACACTCACACTCTTTTCTACTATTTGCAGTAGTCGTCACAATTGTTGTATGTTGATAGCGGTTCTTCTAAATAGACGTAAAAACTGCTGAAATTTTGAACACACATTTGCTTGCCATAAATCTTTTGCTAGTTTCATAATTAGTTACACAGCTTTGCATAATATTACAATACCCAATCTATAGTTGGTAAATTTACAGGGAGGGAAACTTTGTCAAAATCAATTTTTACCGATACAGTAGATAGAAATGAGTATTTTCTCTCTCCCTCCCTCCTCTCCCTCCCTCCTCTCCCTCCTCTCCCTCCCTCCCTCCTCCCTCCTCTCCCTGTGCATCAGCATCGAGCGATACTCTGTGATTCCTCTGTCTCCCAACTCTGGACTGATAGGCTGGGTGCCCCACTGCGACACCATCCACTCTCTCATCAGAGACTACCGGGAGAAGAAGAAGATCATGCTCAACATCGAACATCGCCTCATGCTACAGGTGGGCCCGCGTAGAGAGGGACAATATTCTGGCCTTCATAGAGAGAGGTACCCCTACG